GACCCCCAGCCCCTCCTCCCTCAGACCCAGGAGTCCAGGCCCCCAGCCCCTCCTCCCTCAGACCCAGGAGTCCAGACTCCCAGCTCCTCCTGCCTCAGACCCAGGAGTCCAGGCCCCCAGCCCCTCCTCCGTCAGACCCAGGAGTCCCCAGCCCATCCTCCATTAGAGACCCCAAATTACAGGCTCTCATGGCCACAGCTCTCTTATGGACCCAGGCTCCTGGGCCTCCATCGCTTCTCCCACCCCTCCAAGGCTCCCCGTCCTTGGGCTCCCCGCCCTGGCTGGCCTCTGAAGGGCTCTTTGTCGCCACACAGAGGCCCCATTGAGCTGCGGAGGAGGCCGGGATTGGGGGGGGAGGCTGTTTATGCACCTTCGCACCTGGGCCAGGAATCTGTGAGTAACCGCCCTGCGCCACCACCTCCTGCCCCCACTAACCGTGGCCCCTCCTCCCACCCAGCCCTGTGGAGCCCATGGAGGCAGAGGACATCCCCCGCGGGCTGGTGAGTGGAGAGCGCCTGGGGGGACGGGCCTGGGGGGCTGCGAGGTGGGATTGCACCCCGAGCTGAAGCCATCCCTCCTCCTCCACAGGCCCCAGGACCACCGCGGCCTGGCCTGGTGCCAGTCAGCATCATCGGGGCTGAGGACGAGGATTTTGAGAACGAGCTGGAGACGGTGAGGGGGAGATGGGGGGGAGAAGCTTCTGTCCCAGTCTCCCTGGGCCCCAGCCCTCAAGTGCCATCCTCAGTGTCCCCTCCCACCTTAGGTCCATCACGGGGTGCTGCCCCCTGCCTCCTCTCACTGCCGATTCCTCTTCTGTGTTCTGGGTACCACCACCCTCATCCCCTCCTACCCCGTTCTTGATGCCTCATTATAGCACAGACTCCCACCCTTTTTACTCTAACCCTGGGTTTTATCACCGCCCCCCTTAATTACAGCACAGATCCCTACTCCCTCCTACCCGCCATCATAACGTTAAATGTCAGCCACCGTCCCTGACCCCGGCCACCGCCATTACGGCGTAGACTCTGCTGCCAGGGAGGGGAAGGGTCAAGCGCAAAGCCCTTCCTCTGCTCCCCGCTGTCTCACCCCCCCCCCCCCCCGGCTAACCCCACCCCCCCCCCCCCCCCCCACTCGCAGAACACAGAGGAGCAAAACAGCCAGTTCCAGAGCCTGGAGCAGGTGAAGCGGCGGCCTGCCCACCTCATGGCGCTCTTGCAGCACGTCGCCCTGCAGTTTGAACCTGGACCCCTGGTGAGGGCGGGGCTGTGTGGGCAGAGGGAGGGGTGGGGCCGGGACAGGCCACAGTGCTCAGTGAGATAGACTAGTGAAGACGAGCTGGGAGGGTCTGGAAAACAGATCCAGAACCCACAGCACGAGATCTAGAAAGAGAGAGCCAGAGCACTAGCTAGCCATGTGACCCAGGCAAGATCACAGGTGCTGCGTGGAATTCTCCGTGAGGAGCCAGTGCAAGGGGGGGGAGAGTACTCACGGCAGGGTCACGCAGAGAACAACAGAGAATCCAGAAGCCAGCAGAGACCATGCCTCCCAGCCTCCTTCCCTGCCTGTGGCTGTGTCACCCCATCCGTGACCGCACCCTTTCCCGCTGACCCTGGAAGTGGAATCCTGCCCTGTGGCCTCAGCAGGTGTGCCACCGGTCTGTCATTCAGGGCTAGGGCATGGGAGGACGCCACTAGCCTTCCTAGGTCTAGCTGGCCCAGAAACAAGAAACACCCACAAGCAGCCCAATAAGGCAGAGCGAGCATAATTCGTGATCCACAGATACCAGGCAGAAGAATACCCGGGCCCCCGCAGGTGCCGACCTGTGCTGCCCGGAAGCGCCTGCCGGGGCTAGAGAGCCCGGTGCGTGACTTAAGAAGAAAGAAGCCACTGCGCGGGCTAGAGGGGGGCGCTCTGTGGACAAGGCTGTCATCCCAAGAAGACCCAGTGTGGCCCAGCACAGGCTGCAGTTAGGGTGTAGCCCAGAGCACTGGACTGGACTGGAAATGCGTAGCAGGGCCCTCTGGAAACCAGACACCGGTAGAAATGCCAGGGCGGGATGCCTGGGGGCTGCAGGAAGCAAGGGCGCATGGACTGACCCTGAAGCTTCAGAAATTGGCAGGAAATCGGGAAAGTGCCTTCTCTCCAGAAAAGTAGCTGCCCCTCCCCTGTGAAGGGAGGCTGTGGCCGTCTGGGCAAGGAGGTCCCCTTACTTGAGCCTGAGGTTTCTAGAACTCGAGCTCTTGGAACTCGGCCCAGGGAGGGTGCTGACTGCCGTGTCCTTTTACAGATGTGGAAACAGGCCTAGCCAGGGCCAGGGGCTTGGCTGAGGTGACCCGGATGGCCCCTGGAGTTTGGAATCTGGCCTCCTGCTGCCCCCTCACCTCATCAGCTAGGGAAGCAGCCATGAGATAGTTGTGGTCCCCTGGGCCGCTTCCTGTTGGCCTCTCATGGAGTTTTGTCGTGGAGTTTGGGGGTGTGCAGAGATTGGTTGAGAAATAGAGTCCTGCCCCTACCGAGGGGTGAGTCCTTAGCCTACAGACCAGGTCCCTTACCTGACGAGAGACCCCAGGAGCCAAGACAGGCTGCAGTTGGCAGCGCATTGCCAGCATCACCCCGCACGGGGCTGACGCACAGGCGAGCTCAGGGAATGAGTGGTGAATGAACGAGCGAGCCCCGCTGGGCCACCTGGTTATTTACCCAGCCCCCACTGTGCACGGGGCCTCTCTGGGGGCACAGATGAGTCAGAACCTCGGTCTCTCTCACACACACCCTCAGGTTGCTTGCGGTAGTTCTAGGCTGTGGGTTGTAGGGGAACAGGCTGCCTGGATTCTAAATCCCAACTTTGCCACTAACTAGCTGTGTGACCTGGGGCAAGCTTCTTTTTTCTTTTTTTTTTTTTTCTTTAAGATTTTATTTATTTATTCATAAGAGATAGAGAGAGGCAGAGGGAGGAGCCCGATGAGGGACTTGATCCCAGGACCCTGGGATCATGACCTGAGCCGAAGGCAGACACTTAACCATCTGAGCCACCCAGGCGCCCTGGGGCAAGCTTCTTGAGCTCAGTTTTCTCATCTGTAAAATGGGATAATGACAGTGCCCATGATTGACCAGGTTAACGTGAGTCAAGGGTTTAGAACGGCACCTGGTCCAGGCCCAGCTTTCTCAGTGTAGCAGGAGATAGCAGGAAACCAAACCACAGCCATATCACAGGATAGAAAACTAGCAAATGCTCACAGGGGCCCCAGGGAGCCCAAGAGAGGCCAGGGCCTGGGTGTGGAGGTAGTGGAGACTAGGGAGCACTTAGCAGAGGATTTGAGCCGCAGGTTTTTCAAGGGAGAGTGGGGTTTGGTTGGCGGGGGAGAGGACAGGCGACGCTCTGTTTCCCCAGCTCTGCTGCCTGCACGCGGACATGCTGGCTTCTCTGGGCCCCAAGGAGGCCAAGAAGGCCTTCCTCGACTTCTACCATAGCTTCCTGGACAAGACCGCGGTGAGAGACACCTTCGAGGGGTCCCGGTTCCCCCACTCCTTGGTCCTGGGGGGGACCCGGTGCCAGCTGGGCCCTCCCTCCACAGCTCCCTCCCCTCAGCCCATCATTCCTGGTGGGCACCTGGGCTGCCATCTGGTGACCCCGTCACTGCCCGGTCCTCCCCCTCACTCCATTCTCTGTCCCGAGCAGGTCTTGCGGGTGCCGGTCCCTCCCACTGTCGCCTTTGAACTTGGTAAGGAGAGGGGAAGGGGACTGTGGGTGAGGGAGAGGTGTCTGGCCGGGGCTGGGGAGCCCCAGGACGGGAGGCCACACTCCCCTGCTCCCATCCTTCCCCCAGCGTGGCCGTCAGGAGCCCGAGGGGGGGTGGAAGTGGCCCCCAGCCCCCTGCCCGTGTCCCCGCAGACCGCACGCGGCCCGACCTCCTCCCTGAGGACGTCCAGCGGCAGTTTGTGCAGGAGGTAGTGCAGAGCCAGCAGGCAGCCGTCAGCCGGCTGCTGGAGGACTTCCGCTCCAAGCGGCTCATGGGCATGACGCCCTGGGAGCACGACCTGACCCAGCTGGAGGCCTGGGTTGGGCGGGACCGTGCCAGCTTCGAGGCCCGGGAGCGGCACCTGGCCGAGCGGCTGCTGACCCATCTGGAGGAGATGCAGTGAGTGGGGCCTCCCCTTCCCCAGCCTGGGGGCAGTGGTTGGGGGGGGGTTCCCTGCAGCTTCAGGGTTCATTTCTTACCCTTTGGGCTCTTCCCCTGACTTCTGGGTTCCCCAGCCCTGCCATTTGTGATTCATCTGGTTTTGTGTTGTCTCTTCCCAACTTTGGGGCACCCTCCCAGTTTCCAGGGCTTTCCGTGGTCTTGTGTTTGGGCCTGGCGAATTGGGTCCTGTCCTTGCGGCTCTGAGCTCCCAAGTGACACTCCTCCCCGCTGCCGCCTCCCACCCCTGTAGCCGCGGCCCTCTCCCTCTCCGCCTCTCCTGTGCCCGCGTCTCAGGGGGCGGCACTCCGGACCTCTGTGCTGGGTAGACAGGGACCCAGGCTTAGCAAGTCTGTCGAAAACGCCTTTCTTCTTTTTGCAGACCCACCATCTCTACCGATGAGGAAAAGAGGTGATGACGGAAGCAGAGGGGATGGCAGGAGAGGCATTTAGTCCCCTGGGCCCCAGGGAGGAGGACCGGGGATCAGGGGCCTGGCCCTGTCCTCTGGACCCCCTCCCCCTTCCTCAGACACTCAGCCGGAAGCAGTTGTGGGGTTGGGGTGGGAAGCGAATGCGGAGGGGAAGGCTTGGGGACAGCAGTGTCCCCATGGCCATGGGTGTGTGTGTGCATCTGTGCGCACGTTGGGGCCCTCACCGTCGTCCCCTCCCCACAGTGCCGCTGTGGTCAACGCCATCAGCCTGTACATGCGCCACCTTGGGGTGCGGACCAAGAGTGGAGACAAGAAGTCGGGGAGGAATTTCTTCCGAAAGAAGGTGCTTTTCCCCTGAGCGCCCAAACCTGGCCCCTCCCTCCCCCATAGGCCACTGGGGAGCCCCGTGATTCGGGGCTCATGGGGTCTGATTCTGCTTTGTTGGGGTGTCAGAGATGCATAGCCCTTTCTCCACTCTCCTTACTTCCCTCAGATGATGGGGAATCGGCGGTCAGATGAGCCAACCAAGACCAAGAAAGGCCTGAGCATCTTCCTGGACGCCGCCCGCTGGAACCGGGGAGAGCCTCAGGGTGAGGTGCCCGGCCGCTGCCCGCCCCGGCTTCCCCACACCGCCCCCGCCTCATGGTCCCATCTCTCGTTTCAGCCGCCGATTTCCGACACCTCAAAGTCGAGGCTGATGGTAATGGTCCTAAAGCTGGCTGGGGGCTTGGGGGAGGGGGGGGGGGGTGGGGGGTGCTCCTGGGCCGTGGGGAGGATGGGGCTGGAGTACAGACTGCTGTGGATTAGAGGAGCTGGGCTCTCATTTCCCCCTGCTCCCTGGATGTCTCCCCAGCTGAGAAGCCAGGCCTTACGGAAAGGAGGGGAGGCCTGGGGGTGCCCTCCCGGGACCGGAATGTTGGGGCTCCTGGGCAGGATGTCCCTGGAGTTTCTCTGCACCCTCTGTCTGGAGACAGCCCCGACAAGGAACCAGGTGAGTTTCTTGAGCTCCCCACCCCAGCCCGAGAGACCACCACTCAGTTCTCTGCTTGCCCCTCCCTGATCCTGGTCACCGGTATTATTAAGAAACCCCCCCCCCCCGGGGGGGTGCCTGGGTGGCTCAGTTGTTTAAGCGGCTGCCTTCGGCTCAGGTCATGATCCCAGGGTCCTGGGATCGAGCCCCGCATTGGGCTCGCTGCTCATCAGGATCCTGCTTCTCCCTCTCCCCGTTGCTCCCCCTTGCTTGTACTCTCTCTCTCTGTCAAATAAGTAAATAAAATCTTAAAAAAGAAGAAGAAAAGAAACCACCCCCCCTTCCCTCAGTTCACCCGTTCCACGGCTTTCCCCTCAAGGCTCCGGCCTCTTGAATCTGAGGCAACGGCTTGGCCGGGCGTGGGTTCAAGTCCCAGCTCGGCAGCTTAGTCGGGTTATATCCTGGAGGCCCTGTCTGAGCCTCAGTCTTCCTAAAAGGGGTCTACCTCTTCCTGCAAGTCCCGGCTTAGGGTCGCGAGAAGGAATGGATGTGGAGGCGTCACGCAGAGCTCCAGTGTGCCCTGGTTCAGTGGCTTCTCCCCCGACCGGCCCCAGCTGCTGTGGCCATGTCCCCCACCGAAGTGCAGGGCAGCCGCTGGTGTCGGCCGGGCACTGGGTGGCCTTAGCCCCCACCCCCCATTCCACGGGAGGAAGTAGAGGCCCCCAGAGTGTGGGTCTTGCCGCAAGGGCCCGGCAGCCTGCCTTGCTCTCCCCTGCCGCCCACAGGTGTTGATGCCCCACCAGAGCTGGGGGATGCGCCCCCGCAGGGCCCGGCCAGCCTGGAGCCCCTGGCGCCCCCGGAGAGCACTGAGGAGGGCGCTGACACAGAGAGGTGCCCGGGGCCGGGGGTGGGGGGGGTGGGGCGCTGGGTGCAGGAAGGGGCTTCTCAGGCTGGGGAGGCGCGTGCGGGGTCGCGCTGCCGACTGCTCCTGCTGTCCCCGAGCCGAGCCGTCTCCACTCTACCCGGCTCCCGGCTCCTGCCTCTGCCCGTCTTCGGCCTCCCCTGTCCGTGCTCCACTTTCTCTCTTCTCATCTCCCCTTCCCTCTTCCTCCTCCCTCCCGTACTCTTTGCCTCTGGGCTCCCCCTGTCGCTCCCTCACCCCTTCAGATTTTCATCCCCCCCCCCTTCTGAGCCACTGCCCTGCGCCTTGCTCCTGCCTCCCAGTGCCCTGTCCTCCGTCCCCCACCCTCTGTGCTCCAAGCCTGGGGGCCCTGTCCTCCTCCCAGTTGGGGGGCAGGCTCTGCCCCCTGCCTGTCCTTGTGCCGCTGCTTTGGGGACCCTTTGGTGGGTGGGGGAGGTGAGTTGGGTTCCATTTGGGTCCCCCTCTGACCCTGTGCCCCTCTCTCCCCAGAAGGTGGAAGAGGTGGGTGCCCGGGCCCTGGGTGGGGGGAGGGCTAGCCCCTCCCCCGTTTCTCCCAGCCCCTCCCCTCTCCCCATGGGCCACCCCCTCCCCTTCACCCTGCAAGGGGTGGGTGGGGACGTCACCCTCCCAGCAGAAGAGCTAAGTATTGAAATCTCCTTCCCTCCCTCACTCCCTGCTCTGCCCCCGTCATCCCCTTGCCTTAGGGAAGGGGGGGGTCAGTCCTGTGCTCCATCCTGGGTTTCCCTCCCCACCTCCACCAAGGTCCCCTGTCCCTCCTGACCACCCCCACTGCCCCGGCACCCCAAAGTCCCAAGTCCCACTGCTCCTTCTGACACTCTCCTCTCTTCTGTTGCATGTTTGGTATCTGTCCTGGTCTCCCCTACCCGGGCCCCCGTCTCTCCCTGTGCTGGTCTCTCCCTGTCTGTCCCTGACCTGGTATCTCCCCCCCTCTGTCCCTGTGCTGGTCTCTCCCTGTCTGTCCCTGACCTGGTATCTCCCCACCTCTGTCCCTGTGCTGGTCTCTCCCTGTCTGTCCCTGACCTGGTATCTCCCCACCTCTGTCCCTGTGCTGGTCTCTCCCTGTCTCTCTCCCTCTCCTGGTCTCTCCCCAACTGTCCCTGTCTTGGTCTCTCCCTGTCTCTGTCCCTGTCTTGGTCTCTCCCTGTCTCTGTCCCTGTCTTGGTCTCTCCCTGTCTCTGTCCCTGTCTTCGTCTCTCCCTGTCTGTCCCTGTCTTGGTCTCTCCCTGTCTCTGTCCTGGCCTCTGCCTGACTCTGTCCTTGGCCTCGGGGTCCAGGCTATCGGGGCGTCTGGGGCGCTCGGAGAGCCTGCGGGTGAGTGACCGCCGCCGGCCTTCCCGGGGCAGCCTCGGGGCTAAGGGCCGGGGTGGGGGCCGCTCCCGGAGTGACGTGGACATGGACCCCAGCTCTGCCACGGCCGTGCTTGGCCCTGCCCGACGAGCCACGTAGGTCATTCCTCCCCCATCTACTGAGGCAGCCTGGAGAGTCAGGAGGATGGTGGGGGAGGGGTCGTTGCCAGAGTTACAGAGAATTGGGTATTGGACGCTAAGGTCACTGAGGTCACAGGAGAGGGGTGGGACTCTTCTTTCTCGAGATTTGGGGGCTGCTCTGCAGCATGGGCTACTTTGGAGGCGTCGAATGCCAAGGCCACGGGGTGGGGTGGGGGATGGGGTGTTAGACACTAGGAATGGAAGTCTCCCTGGGATTCCCCAAGCTGGGGCCCTAACAAGGCCTCTGTCTCACAGCCCTGAGCCCGGAGATGAAGGGGACCCGGGACGGTCAGGACTAGAGCTGGAACCAGAAGAGCCCCCTGGCTGGCGGGAGCTCATCCCCCTTGGCACCCTGCACAGCCTGCCCAAGAGCCAGGTGAAGCGGCAGGAGGTCATCAGCGGTGAGTACCGGGGACACCACCCGGTTCTGGCAAAGAGACGATGGAGCTGTCCATCCCCCCAGAGCTTGAAGGCGGCCTGTTTCCACCGAGGGCCATTTGTTATGTAAATTGTAGAACAGCCACTCATGGGACAAGAATGTGGCTGTCAGCTGTCAAAGTGACATTTCCAGCGAGTTCCGCCCCCCGCCCCCCTACCAGTGCTGTCTGCTACGGGGTGGGCACCTGGGCTGCTGCCTCACCGCGGCGGGGCGGGGGCCGGGAGCTTCAGGCTCGGGGTTCACCGGGGCTCGTCTCTCCTTTGCCACAGAAGAGGGCAGTGCTGGTAAGAGCAGGAACGGGTATATAAAGTTGTATTTCTCCAGGAAATCTGTTTTTTTATTTGGGTAGTAATAGTTCACACCTCAAAAGACTGTCACGGAGCTTAGGTGATTCATGTGAAGCGTTTAGCTCGCTGTGGGGCCGGGTATGAACTTTCCAGTGTGACTGTTCTTACCATGATCTTAACCATTCAGGGGCAAAAAGGGTCCCAGGGGGACACGTTTTGGAAGATAATCAATATATTATCAGTGCTTGCTTCTGGGCAGGGAGGTGATGGAAGTATCGTTTCTGTCTTGATTCTTTTCTGTGATTTCGAACTGGGTGTGGGGAGGGTGTTTGGCAAAATAGAACACTTCTTTGGAAGCTCTGGTTTGGAAGTTTATTTACAAGTTGCTTAATAGTAAGGGTACTCATTTGGAATTTTTAGGGCAGTAGGGGAATACTTTTTGTGTCACAGATCCTTCTAAGGATATGAGCAAAACATAAAGCAGTGCTGTCTGATAGAATTTTCTGGAATAATGAAAACACGCAGCATCTGCGCTGTCCAACATGGTTACCACCAGCCACGTGATGGCCGTTGAGCACTTGAAATGTGACAGGTAGAACTGGCAATGGAATTTTGTATTTCAGTTAAAATCTGAAGGCCTGTACGTGGCTAGTGGCTACCGTAGCAGACAGCACAGCCATTTCTTTCGTCAGAAAAATATTCCCAACACAGGATTGTGCGTTTAGTGTCCAGGGACTCCTGGGACCCCTGAAACCCAGGCATGCTCCCTCTGGGGGGGTCCCTGGATCCAAGGCTATCAACCTGTGTTTAAAGGGTTATCATTGTTCCAGAAACCAAGGCCGAGAGACTTCCTGGACGCCAAACACAGCTCCGGCGGGGGTGGGGGCGCTTGCTGGTGGTGGTGTGACCAACTCATCCCAGTTCGCCTGGAACTTTCCCAGGTGTAGCACTGAAAATCCCATGTTCTGGGAAAGGCGTCAGTGCCAGGCACAGGGGACCATTGGTCACCCCGGCTGGCTGCCGCAGCCCAGGAAAACGGGCTTTTTCAGGATCAGGAATCTTCGGTGGCTATTTCAGGGGCAAACGATTCCATCCAGAGAGAGTCACCCCTGTCCCCCACCCCGAGCCTGCCTCTGAGACTGCACCCCATCCTTTGCACCCTCCCCAACCGTGCTTCCTGCTCGGTGGCCCCACAGAGCTGCTGGTGACAGAGGCCGCCCACGTGCGCATGCTCCGGGTGCTGCATGACCTCTTCTACCAGCCCATGGCGGAAGGGGGCTTCTTCTCTCAGGAGGAGCTACAGAACATCTTCCCCAGCCTGGACGAGCTCATCGAGGTGCATTGTGAGTGCAGGGCCATGGCCCACTGTGCGCCCCACCACCGGCTCCCTCCTCGAGGCCTTTGCGGCTAGACCCGGAGTCTAGCACATTCTCCTTGAGTGCCCACCACGGGCAGCTTCTTTTCTAGCCCTGGGGGCAACCCCATGCCCCCAGAGCTCACATTCCAGGGGGCACATCAACAAGCGCACAGCATGGGCGGGGGCTGCGGGGGACAGCCCATTGGCCCCAAGGATGAGACACTTGCAGCCCGGACTCCACAACCCCCCGATCAGCTCTACGTACCACCTCCCGGGCCCTGACAGAGCACCCCCTTCCCTCACCGCTCTCAACAGCCCTGTTCCTCGATCGGCTGATGAAGCGGAGGCAGGACAGTGGCCACCTCATTGAGGAGATCGGAGATGTGCTGCTGGCCCGGGTGAGGGCGCCCGGCCCCTGCCCCTCTGGGGTCCCCTCCTCCCAGCCAGGGACCTGGAATCCCATCAAGACCCAGGGGTTGGGGCCCCTCACCCTGTCCTCCTGTTGAGGCTGCTGTTTCCTCGTGCGGCCCTGCTCTTCCCAGTCCCACCTGAGACACCCTCCCTGGCCTGAATCTCACTGTAGTTTGATGGTACCGAAGGCGGCTGGTTCCAGAAAATCTCCTCCCGCTTCTGCAGCCGCCAGTCGTTTGCCTTAGAGCAGCTCAAAGCCAAGCAGCGCAAGGAGCCTCGGTTCTGTGCCTTTGTGCAGGTGAGGGGGAAGCCAGGGCCCCAGGGTCCCAGGGGGGAGGGGGCTGGTGTCGCAGTCCCTGAGGCGCCTCCCGGTACGGGCCACCTCAGCGCCACTCTGCCCCTAGGAGGCCGAGAGCCGCCCGAGGTGCCGTCGCCTGCAGCTGAAGGATATGATCCCCACGGAGATGCAGCGTCTGACCAAGTATCCCCTGCTCCTGCAGAGCATTGGGCAGAACACAGGTGCCAGAGGGCCAGGCCCCACGCCACGGGGCCCGGGCTCTGCTGCCTCACCGCGGCGGGGCGGGGGCCGGGAGCTTCAGGCTCGGGGTTCACCGGGGCTCGTCTTTCCTTTGCCACAGAAGAGCCGGCGGAACGGGAGAAAGTGGAACGGGCAGCTGAGTGCTGCCGGGAAATTCTGCACCATGTTAACCAAGCTGTGCGCGACATGGAGGACCTGCTGGTGAGCCTGGCCGTGGCCGTGGGCCCACAGGGAGGGGGGCGTCCGTGTGGGGGGGCCTGGGCGGGCCTTTGTCTTGTCTGCCTCGGGGCCCCTTCTCTGGAGGTCGGGCCTGGCCCTCGGCTTGTCCCTTCGGGGTCACTGTGGGTCAGCCGCAGCCCTCGGGTCATCGCCGTGACTCTCCCTTCCCTGCCCCAGCGGCTCAAGGATTATCAGAAACGCCTGGACTTGTCCCACCTGCGGCAGAGCAGTGACCCCATGCTGAGCGAGTTCAAGGTGGCCCTGCCTGCCCTGACCTCCCCGCTTCTCCCTGGCCTTCCCCTGCCCTCGGCCAGCCCTGCCCCTCCTGCCCCCAGGACTCTGTGCTAATGCGCCCCGGGAGTGAAAGCCACCCCCTGCTCGGAACCCCTCCTCAGTCCCAGCGGCTTGCTCGTCCTGAGCCTGGCCCACCATCCCAGCCCCGTGGTCCTCCCCGCCCTCCCCTGCCCTGCGCCGACCGTGACACCTTCCTGTCTCCAGAACCTGGACATCACCAAGAAGAAGCTGGTGCACGAGGGCCCGCTGACGTGGCGGGTGACGAGGGACAAGGCTATAGGTGAGCGCCGGGGCGGTGAGCGGGGCCGGGGGGTGGGGGTCCGGAGGGGCACTGCTGAAGCCTGGGCCTTGCCCCACAGAGGTCCACGTGCTGCTGCTGGACGACCTGCTGCTGCTACTCCAGCGCCAGGACGAACGGCTGCTGCTCAAGTCCCACAGCCGGACGCTGACGCCCACGCCTGACGGCAAGACCATGCTGCGGCCCGTGCTGCGGCTCACGTCCGCCATCACCCGCGAGGTGGCCACCGGTGAGGCCCCTGCCCGCAGGATGGGGGGGGGCCTCTGAAAGAGCTGGGGAGCGCGTGCTGGCCCCCCAGGGAGGCCACGGCAGAGGCCCAGGAAGGGGAGGCCGCGAGGGCCCCCCTCCCCCCGGAGCTGGGCGTGGCCGGGCGCCAGGAGCGCTGTGGGCCTTAGGAAGGGACCTGGGCAGCTCCCCAAGGGTTTGCACACAGGAGCTGCCAGCTCTGATCAGCGTTCGAAGACGCCCCGCTGCAGGGACTGTAGGGGAGCAGGGGTGGAGGCTGGAGCCCAGCGAGGAGGGGTTTGCAGATGTGCACCAGCGGCTCCAGGGGTTTTGTGGGGGAGAGCCAGACTGCGGACTTGCTGCCTGATGGATGAGGGGGTGTGAGAGGGAGGCCCTGGGAGGAGGCACCAGAGGGATGGGCGTGAGCTGGGGGAGCCTAAGTCCCCCGCCTCTAGCCCAAGCTCAGGGGAGGTGCACATCGGGGTGACCCCGGCCCTGAACCCCCTCTTCCTCCTGCAGATCACAAAGCCTTCTATGTCCTTTTCACGTGGGACCAGGAGGCCCAGATATACGAACTGGTGGCCCAGACCGTGTCAGAACGGAAGAAGTGAGGGGGGTCTGGGTTCTAAGCTCGGGTGGAAGAGGTGGCCCAGGCTGGGGGGGGTGGGAGGCCCCGGCACAGGATCTGGGGGGCTCTGACTGCCAGCCCCGGGGCGGGGGCTGACCTGTCTCCCCAGCTGGTGTTCCCTCATCACCGAGACTGCTGGATCCTTGAAGGTCCCCGCTCCCGCCTCTCGCCCCAAATCCCGGCCCAGCCCAAGCAGGTGAGGGGGACACTGGAGGGCTGAGGAGCCAGGGGAGATGACTGTGTGTGTCTCCAGAACTTGAGCTCCAGGGGGTGGGGGGGTGGGGGTGTGGGTGTGTGTGTGTGTGTGCGCGCGTACGCGCGCCACCACCACAGCCAATCGGGTGGGTGGGTGTGTTTACAGGTGTGTGTGCCACCACCACAGCCGGGTGGGTGGGGGTGGGGGGGTGGGTGTGTTTACAGGTGTGTGTGCCACCACCACAGCCAGTCGGGTGGGTGGGTGTGTGTTTACAGGCGTGTGTGCCACCACCACAGCCAGTCGGGTGGGTGGGTGGGTGTGTGTGTGCGTGTGTGTTTACAGGTGTGTGTGCCACCACCACAGCCAGTCTGGCCCCTGTCCAGGCCCCTCTGTCTCCATCTCCCAGCCTCAACTTCTGTTTCTGAACCGCCCCCCACCTCCTGCTGTCTCCCTGCTGCCCCCGAGGGCCAGAGCCATGGGGTCACCCAGTACTTTTCCCCGCAGCACCCGAGAACCCCTGCTCAGCAGCTCGGAGAACGGCAACGGTGCTGGCCGAGAGATGCCCCCAGTGGACAGTGAGCCTTTGTGGGGATGCGTAGTGGGGCGGGGAGGGGGGGGCAAGGTGTCCCGAGGAGGCCCGGCAGGAACTGAGCACCGCCCGCCCCCGCTTCTTCCTCCCCTCCCCAGGCCGGACCGAGAGAATCCTGAGCACCCTCCTGCCCTACTGCAGGCCCGGCCCCGAGGGCCAGCTCGCGGCCAAGGCCCTTGAGAAAGGTAGGCCGGCGCTGTCCGTGCGGGGCTGCCACTAGCCCATCTTTCCAGCCTGTCTCCTGTCCAGGCCCAGTGCGCTCCAGGCCTGCACCACCACCCTCGGTGGCCCCGAGCCCCTCTTCTGTAGCCTCTGTCCCTCCCTTGACCTCCGGTTCAGCCTCTCCCTGGACACCCTCCATTCTCCGTGTCCTCTCCCTGCCTCTCCTCTGCACGCCCTTTGCATCCCCCAGCCCCACCTGCAGCCCAGCCCCCACCTTCCCCTCTGGGTACCCCCCTCCCCTGCAGGCCCCTGGTCTCTTTCCCAGCCCCGCTTCTGACTGTTCCCTTGCCCCTGCCAGTGCTGTCCCTGAAGCAGCTCCTGTTTCCCTCGGAGGAAGACAGCGGGGCGGGACCTCCCCGTGATGGGGATGGGGTCCCAGGGGGCGGCTCCCAGAGCCCGACCCAGACCCAGGAGATTCGGGAGAAGCTGCTCAGCCTGGAGGAGACCCTGAAGCAGCTGGAGGTGGTGGCCTGGGGAGAGGGGCAGGGCGGGGGAGGATGGGGCTGACTCGGTGGAGGGACCCCTCTCATTGAGGCCTCTCCATCCAGGAGGTGGAGGAAGAATTTTGTCGCCTGCGACTCCTCCTGTCTCAGCTTGGGGAGAACACCGCCCCCCAGCCTGGCTGTACCTGAGGCCCCCTGCCCCAGGCAGGTGAGTGGAGGCCCAGAGGGTTCGCAGCTCTGCCCAGAGGGGCGGGACTGCAGTGGGCATCTCGGGGGCTCCCTTCTCCATAGCCCCCTCCTGCCGTCTCCCTCCCTGCCTCTCCCCGTTCCACCTCCTGGCTCTGGTCGGTCTCCTTTTTGGGCTCCTCTGTTTGCTCTGCCCATCTCCCTCCTCCCCGCCTCCATCTCCCCGGCCCTGCTTCTCCCCCCTCTCTCCCCCTTTTCCCTGCCTCTCTTCATCTCTCCCCATCTCCCTTCTCCCACATTCCCCCAGGCCTTTCGCAAGACTGAGGGCCACCCGCCGCCACCGCACAGCTGCCGCAGCATCTCCAACCCCAAGGGCCTGAGGAGAGGGAGCTGGGCTGCTGGGGGGGGGGGCCTATGCCTGGGGGGGCCCAGCTGGGATCACCGCCTCCCCCCCGCCAACCTCCCGTCGGCCTTCTCTCCCTCCTGCTTGGGGGACTCAGGGCTTCATTCCAGGGGGGGAACCACAGTGACCCCCCCCCCCATTACCCAGGCCATCTCTGTAGTGCCTGGGGGGGGCACCCCTCCATTCCCCACCCCCAAGTGCCTTTGCTATGTTTTTATACCCTGAATTGGAGGTTTATTTTTTAATATATATTATCTAAGGAGAGCTATGTGTGTGAGGATGGGGTGGGGGCCCTGGAGTGGTTTCGGGAACCCTCTCCCACCTTCCTGGGTCTGCCTTTCTCCACGTCTTCCTTCCTGTGCTTCAACAGTGACTCCCCAGGTGATCCCCCGCTCCCACCCGAGCCCCCCACTGTCACCCACGACGCCGGGCTCCCCCACAGCTCACACTCCTTTCTGTTCTTTTATTTTTGTAGTAAACTCTCTGGAGGTGGCCGGTGGGGGTTGTGGGGAGCTGGTGGGGAGGGGGCCCTCCTGGGCGGGGGCTGGGGGCGGGGTTATTGCTCTGAGCTCCCTGTCCCAGGGGGCCTGTGTGGGGAGGGTGTCAGGACTGGGGCCGGCACAAGGGGAGACACAGCCGCACAAACACGCAGGTCACAGCACGGGTGGGGGGGGCGGCGGGTGGGCAGGAGAGGCTGGGCGCCATATTGCACTTTGGGAGTGGGGCCAGGTGGGGACCCCCCTCAAACTGGAGCCTGGGAAGGAGGCCATCGTATTCCCTCCCGCTCTGGACGGGGAGGGGATACCCCAACCTGGGGTTCGGGAGGAAGGTGGGCAGCCACGTGCCTGGTCCCCGGCCTTAGGCGGGACATCGAGGGCAGACCAGGCGATGGCAGAGGCTGCCGCGTGAGGGTCTGCCCCGATCCCCGCTCTGGCAGAACCCTTCACCCCCCACGGGCTCAGCTGCCGATCCCCCCTTTGCTCGCCTTGGCCTTGGGGGGCACAGGGAGGCCCTCGTCCCCCTCGCTGTCAGAGCTGCAGCCGCTGACGTCTGTGATCTCCAGCTCCGAGTCGCTGTCGTCCTTCCCGCCCAGCGCAGCCTCTGGACCCCCGGCTCCCGGCAGTGCCAGGCGAGGGGCTGCTGCCAGGCCCGAGGGGCGCTCGGGGCCCAGGCCCTCCCCCGCCGCAGCCAGTAGGGGCGAAGCTGTAGGGCCTCCCCCGGCCCCTGCTGAGGGCAGGTGGCCCAGGGAACTGGCCAGAGGGTTGGGGTAGAAGTGTGGGGGGTACAGAGAGGGGGGCAGCTTGGGGAAGGGGCCGGCGAGGTACGGGTTAAAGTTCCAGGGGTAGTCTGGGAAGGCGCGGCCGTAAGGACCCAGCAGGCCAGGGGGCTTGGAATAGCCAGTGGCACCTGGGGAGCACGGGGTGGGTCAGGCTGGGCACACCTCCAGCGGGGGCAGGCGCCCCCTCCCTGCGCCGTCCACCTGCATCCGCCCGCTCTCCACCCTCACGTGGTGCTCCCCGGCTCTGCCTTGGTCTTCCCAGCCCTTTGGCGCCCTAAAGCCCTTCTCCCAGCCTGTCTCCTCCCCACCTTCCCTCCTCCCTGCCTCTCCCCGAATCCTCCTGGGGCTTTTAAGCCCCCACAGGCGCACGCATGCCTCACCCTAGGCCTCCTTCCTGCGTCCTGCCTCTCCCTGTCTTTCCCTGTCCTCGTCCCTCAGACCCAGGCCACGTGTCCCCCACCCCCAGCCGCTCCCCCACACCCACAGGCCCTTACCGGAGCCCAGGAACGGGAAAGGGCTGTCCAGACGCAGCTTGTCTGTCTCAGGGGTGAACAGGGGCGCCCGGGCCCCTGGCTCTCCCAGGCGAGGGGCTGAGAACAGGGTCTGCAGGGTCTGGGGAGGGAGGAGGCAGCTCCGCTCAGCCTGGCTGCCCCATCCCCCGGGGCTCGATGGCTGGGGAGGCGGCACCACACGCCCCCCGCCCCCGTTCTGGGACCCCCAGCATCCTAACTCACCTCGGGGGTAAGGGGAGGAGCATCTGGCCCAGAGGTCCCCCCAAAGGGACCAGGGGTCAGCAAGAGTGGGGAGCCTGTGGTGGCGGCTGCCACATCCAACAGCGGGTAATTGACAAGCACGACTTTGCTGAAGTTGAACTTGTAGGTGAACCTCTTCCCTTTGGTCTTATGGAGAATCCGCTTGTTGTAGTAGTAGCTGTGGGGAGAGGGAGGAGGGGGGCCTGCTGCGGAGGGGCGCCGAGGCAGGTAAAGAGGGAGCCCCTGACTCATGTTAGTGCACAGAGCACAGCAGCTTGGGGAAACTGAGGCTCACAGAAGTCCCTGAACCAAGGTGGCAAGGCAGGGGTGAAGCAGGGGCTGGGATCCTGGCTTCCGGCCTTCCTCCTTGCTTCCCTCCACTCACAAGTAATCACAGTGGCCACCCCATGCGGATCCCTGCGCGTTGGGATCCAAGGGATTCTGCCCCAGGAGACCAAGGGCAAGCCTCCAGGGGGCGGGGGACCAGCCTCTCCCGGCCCCTCCTCACCGCAGGGCCCGGCTCAGCTTGTCATAATTCATGTGGGGCTTGCACTTGCGGATGCCCCAGAGCCGAGCCACTTCATCGGGGTCCTTGATGACGAATTCCCCGTAGTCCCCCTGCCAGGCGATGACCCCCTGGTACTCCTCCTTCTGCAGCAGCTCCAGGATAAAGTGCCACAGCTGGATCTGCCTCGAGCCAGGGGACGACTCCGGCTTGTAGGCCCAATCCGGGAAGGCAAACCCTGGGGACAGGAGGCAGGGGAGTGGCCCCGGGTCAGGACGCCAAGTCGGGGGCTCTAGGTCCTGCGTGGACTTGGGAACCAGGAGGCAGCCGGCCCCCCCCCCCGAATCCTGGTCTCTTGGGCATCTTTAGGGACACAATTCCTACTCTCTCTACCTCAGTTGGTGTCCAGTCCCCAAACTGCCCAAATAGTGGCAGTGAACTCAGTCATCCAGGGACCCTGAGGTGGCACCTGCAGCCTCATGCGCTACCTTGGCATCCTGGGGTGGAGCGTGGGAGGGGCCGGTTTCCCGCAGCCCTGTGGGGAGGACATGGGAGGCGCACCCCCTCCTTGTCAAAAGTCCTTCTCCCGCCGCCCCCCCCAGCCCTGCCCCGGGAGGCTTCTGGTCTCTCCTGCTCTCTGGAACCCCCCTAAGTTTTGCTGTCTCCCCGAAGCCCTCCGCTGACTGCACACTGGCACGGCCAGGCCAGGCCGGTGTGCCCGTGTGTGTCTGCGCCTGTCCACGTATTTCTCTCTTTCACGTCCCGTGTCCCCTCCCTACCTCTGCGCTCCATCAGTCTGAGCGCACTGTGCGTCAGCAGATACCCACAGTGTACGTGTCACACAGACGTCCGCTCACGCTCCAGGGACACCCGGCGACACCACAGTGCACGGACGCGCCAGAATGCCAGCTCCTGCTGGGGTGCAGCACCTCACGCGCAGCATGCCACCAAGGCAGGCCTGCCGGTCACCCGGCATTGCGCATCCCAACACACAATCGCACATCTTGGGCCCCTCAGAACTGGGACCCGCCAACCACACCGCCACGACAGGAGACACACGGGACCCCAAAGGCCCAGCTAGTTAACTGCCGTGGAGCCGGTGAGCAGGGCCTCGAGACGTGCGTCAGCCTGACGGGCACACACGGGGTAACACCACCCCTATAAAACAGCCCCCCCGACCCTCAACACGCAGGCACCCACGGCTCGCTCTGCATGACACACCTCACACTCAGATGGGTGTCCCGCACCCCAGTGTCCAGATGCACCAAATAAGCCGGACGGAAACGGGAGGGTCTTGCCCACCTCTACGTCTTACCTCCCATCCAGAAGGCCCCAGGGCCTGGTTCCCGCTTCTGGGCTCAATCCTGGGCTACGTCCTCTGTCCCCCTCTCCCTCAGAGACCCCAGGCCCAGGCAGGAGACTAGAAGCAGGATTAGCCCTAAGGAACCACCGCTGGGGAGGAAGGCAACGCTGAGCTGGAAGAGCAGCCACGTGATCTACTTGCTGTGTGGTCCCAGGGCACGTCCTTGCCTTCTCTGGCTTATTAGAACTTCAGGGGTGGGAGGCAAGGAGCAGCAGGGTCCCATCCGGGCTGCCTGGTGTGTCAGAGCGGGTGCTCACGCCTCCCTGCCGAAGGCTCAGAAGCCAAGCAGTCTCCTCCCCAAGAGAATTTCTCTCAACCCCATCTTGGGGTCTTCCTTACTCCAGGTGACAGGGCTCAATTAACTCGTGAGCTCTGGCCCATTCCACACCCGGAACACATCCAAGGGGGGGGAGGAGGCGACCCCAAAGATGACAGCCCAGAGATGACAGCACACAACTGGCCACACACATGCAGATACACAACCCAATCTGGAACCACCATCTGCCCTCAAATACATTGTACCCGCTGAGACACACACAACTAGAGGACCCACAACCTCAGCCCGCAGATACACGTTATGACAGCCCCCCAAATTCAGTCACACTCAGTGACACACAGATGCAAGAAACCCCCTGACACACACACCCACACCCCAACACAGACACAGAGGCCGGGGGGGAGGGGGCACCCACCCACACAGCCCGAAGCGCACTGAGACATCCGTCCTGGACCACGACACGGACCCGGAAGTAACAGTAGCAGGCCCTTCACCCGACTGAGGCGGGTACGTACTTGGTGAGCTGACGCACACCTCCCCCACAATCCTAAAATGTCACTGGACATCCTAAAGAAACACGACCCACCCAGCCCAGAGACCCCCAGGTAGCCTCCTGTGTGTGTGCAAGCAGGCGCACCAGCTCACACAAAGACACATGCTGCACATACACTCTCCCAGTGTGACCCCTTCTTCCAGAAGCACTGAAGCATGACACAGGGACACACTCAGACCCCACGTATAAGCAGGCGGAGTCCCAGTCTTCGCACGCATGCACGCGCACACACACACACACACACAGTCCATCTGTGGGGCGTGCGACTTGGACTCAAATGAACATCCAAGCCAGTCTTACTGTCCACGTCCCCAGCTCTGAGTGTCACTTCTGAGCAGGCCGTCCTCTCTCCCAGGGCTCCGGTGGGCTGGGCCACATCTCCACGTCCCCCGACCCAGGCAGTCCCCCGCCCATCTGTCCACCTGCGCCCCCTCTGGTCCCCGCCCCTGCGCCCTCAGTGCCTGGCCATCTCCAGCCTCCTTGCCTCTCTTTGCCCGAAGGTCCTGGGCGGGGAGCAGGCTGAGAGGTACGCAGCTGGGACCCCAGGACCTCAGACCCCTGCATCCCGTCCGTTTCGGACCCTGATGCCTCCCCCACCCTCACGTCCCAGCAGGCAGGTAGCAGGGACATCTCGCTGTGAAGTTTTTAGCCAAGTTTTTCATGAGGGGGGTGCATTCAGGGTACTGTGAGAGAGCCCGGGACAGAGGAGGGAGGACAGGAAGAGGTGCAGAAAGGAGGGGCCGGCTGGCTGGGAAGGGGTGGGAGGTCCGGGCCAGGGCCAGTTACCGGGGGTCCAGAGAGCCGGCAGGGCGGGCGGGGCGAAGAGAAGGTCGGAGACGCAGCTACAGTCCATGGTGGAGCCAGCTCTGCAGAGACGCCAGGACAGACACACGGGGACAGACAGGGGTCAGTGGGGTGGGCGCTCCGCCCGGGGCCACCCGTCCTGCCCGCCCGCCACCCTCTTCACCCACGTCCAGCCGACCCTTCCTCCCAGCCTCTCCTCCCGCAGCCTCCTCCTCGCTCTGTGCCTCGATCACTACCCACGGCGCCCCCGGCCTCCCTCCCCACTGCTCCCACTCGCTCGCGCGCTCACACTCACTGGCTCGCCACCCGCCCGCCCCGCACCAGCTCTGCCGCTGCCGCCGCTCGCCGGCCACTCCGCTCTCGCACCTGACCTCCCATCCGTCTCTGCGTCTCTGGGTCTCTGTCCCTCTCTCTGGCCGTCCCAGATTTGTCTCCTTCTGAACCTCACCCCCACCCCGTGGCCCGCCCAGCGGACCCGCCTGGCTGGCTCGACCGGCTCCCAAGCAGTCCCCAGCTTTCATCTGCTGGCCCAGAACAGGCCAGAAGCGGCCCACCCATCCTGTACCCTGCAGGAGGGCTCCCCCAGATGCCCCTTCCCCTTAGATCTGCCTCCCCCCACCAAACAGCACACCAGATGCCCCTTCCCCTTAGATCTGCCTCCCCCCCACCAAACAGCACACCAGATGCCCCTTCCCCTTAGATCTGCCTCCCCCACCAAACAGCACCCCCAGATGCCCCTTCCCCTTAGATCTGCCTCCCCCACCAAACAGCACCCCCAGATGCCCCTTCCCCTTAGATCTGCCTCCCCCCCACCAAACAGCACACCAGATGCCCCTTCCCCTTAGATCTGCCTCCCCCACCAAACAGCACCCGACACCCCTTCCCCTTAGATCTGCCTCCCCCACCAAACAGCACCCGACACCCCTTCCCCTTAGATCTGCCTCCCCCACCAAACAGCACCCCCAGATGCCCATTCCCCTTAGATCTGCCTTCCCCTGAGATAGCCCCCCATACCTTAGATCTGCTCCCTCCCCACAGTCCCCCTCAGACACCACTTCCTCTTAGATTTGCTTCCCCCTCAGATAGACCTCTCCCCAAACATCCCTTCTCCTTAGATCTTACCCGCCCTGGACAGCCCCCCCTCAGACACCCTTCTTCCCTTTAGATCTACCTCCCCCAAACAGTACCCCTCAAACATCCCTTCCTCCTCAGACATATGGTTCCCCCCTCAGACACCACTACCCCTTTAGATCTGCCTCCTCCCTCAGCTCCCCTTCAGACACCCCTTCCCCCTTGGATATGCCTCTCTTCTCAGGTCCTCTCAGACCCCTACTCCTTCAGATACCCCTCTCCTCAGATACCCCATCCCCCTGAGACACTCCATCCCGTCATCACTGGTCTCTCAGAACCTTTACCCTTCTGCCAGGCCCTCCCCCTTAGATACCCCGCTACCTCACAACCCCCCCCACTCATACCCTGAGACGTCCGCTCCTCTCCGACACCGCCCCACATCTCTCCCCCTCAGATACTTCAGCCCCTCACCACTCCACCCCTTGAGACCCCACCTCTCAGAGAGAGCACTTTCCTCAGACCCCTGGCTCAGACACACCCCCTCAAATACCCCAGCCCCGCTGCGTGCTCTCCCGCGCAGCATTCCTCTCAGACACCACCCTGCCCAAAGATCCCAGACAGCCGCTGTGCTCCCCCATGAACCTCACCTGACCCCTCGGACAGCAGACAAGACTTGGCAGGTGGTCCATTCCCTCCAGACCTGCCCGGTCCCCACGGACACCCCGGCGGCCCCCCACCGCCCAGCGTCCCCCCACCCGGCACTCAGGCCCCCTGCCACATCATCTGCCTCCTTGGCCTGTGGCCGCGCTGCCCCCATGCCCCCAGGTCCCCCTCTGTTTCCCATCCAATCTCCCCAACTTTCTCTGTTGCTCTCCTTCCCTGTCTCCCCCTCCTTATTTCTCAGCACGCATATTTCCCCCCCCTCCTGTCCCCCCCCAGCTCTTTTCCATTTTTCTGCCCCTCCTTCCTGGCCTCCCCCGATCCGGGGTCCCGCCCGTCCTTCTCCACCCACTCTGCCCAACCCCTGTGCCCCGCCCCCAACCCCCCTCGGTCTCCCTGGCCTCTGGCTTCCCCAAGCCCCCCTCCTTCCCATCCCCGACCCCAGCCCTCCTCGGGGCTCTCCCCTCCCCCCCCACCTCGTGCCCCCCGGCCCGGCCCGCCTCCGTCTCCCCATCTCCCTCCCGGCTCCGCACCTCGCCGGCCACCTCTCTCCCACCTCCCGCTCGCTCTGCCTCTCCGGGTCCCCCCCCTCCTGCCTCCGCCCCCGCCCCCACCCCCATTGGCCCCTCTCATTTCCGTGTTGGTTTTGATTTCTCTTCCCAACGCTTTCAACTCCCCGCCGCCTCCTCCGGACACGTTATAACGAGGAGCCGTGGGATCGGCGCTCCGGGCCCTGCTCCCACGCTCCCCCCGCGTCTCTCACACGCATCTCTGCCGTCTCGCCGTCTCTGCCTGCCCCTTCTCTGTCCCCGCCTCTGTCCGGTCAGTCCCACAGGGACTGGGTCCCTGCCCCGACTGTCGGGGTCCACAGAGCCACGTCTCTGGGTCCCCGTGTCTCTGTCTCTGGGTCCCCACGTCTCCCTGTCTCCACACCGCTCTTTTATGTCTCTGGGTCTCCACGTCTCTCCTCCTCACATCCTTGTCTCCGCATCCCTTAGTCTCTGTGTCCATCTCTGTCTCTGTCTCCGTCCCAGTGTTCGTCTCTTGGGGCCCCTTTGATCTCGCCCTGCCCCTGGCGCCCCCCTGGCCCCATTGATCGCTGATCGACCAATGGAAGGAGCGGGGCCTGCGGGGCACCGGGGCTGCAGGGCCAGGCGGGGGGGGCCCCCCCGGTAGGACACTGGACAGACGGACAGCCGGCCCCAGACCTGGTAGCTGGGGAGGGGGAGCTGCTGCAGCCCCTGCCCCGCCGGTCCGCGCCGTGCAGATGGGGACTCCGGGCAAGCTTTAATTTTTAATTTTATTTTGCTTCCTCCACCCCCCCCGCCCCCCATCTCCACCGCCTGCAGCCATGGCACTGAGTGTGTGCGCGCAGCAGTGTGGAGAGGGGCTGGGCGGGCAAGACGCTGCCGCTCTCCTCTCCTTGCCAAGCAGACACACAGCCCAGGCACACACACCACACCACCCCACACATCCCACAGACACGGGTCAACAAAATTACACACACACCACACCACACAGACTCGGGTCAAGAGCCACACCGTCACAACACATCCCACACAGGTCAACCAAGTGATATACACCACGCTGTCACGCACAACACATCCCACACAGGTCAACGAAGTCCCACATATCACACCATCACATGTCACACACCCTCAGCCAAGTGACACACACACCACTGTCACACACAACACACATCACACCGTGTGATGCACACGTCAACAATATCGCATTCAACAAGACTGTAACAACCAACACACAGCGCACAGACCCACACAGCAACCTAGGCTCATGTTCCACCATGTCCTACGCAATACGCGGACATACAGGTCCACACAATCACACGCTTCATGACTGTCTCACACACACACACCAGGATGGCCACAGATATTCACAGAGAAACAGACATGCGGTTCTAGACACACATACAAGACACACACCAATTCAACGCCCCACAGAAACAAAGACACACAATCACCAGTCGTGGACAGAAACCCACTAACACAGACACGTAAGGACACACTGAGGCTCACAATCAGAGGCAGACCTACCGACTTACAAGCACACGCTGACTCGATGCCACACAGAAACAGACGTACCGGGACACACACCCCAGCACAGCCAAGGCAGTGCCACGCAAGTGCCACACACCGAGGGTCCCACAGACAAGCACCAAAGGCCCGGCGTGCACACTGCTCCAACACACACGGAGCCAGAGATGCCACGTGGCACCAATAGAGCCACCATGAGACCACAAACACACGTGGACACACACACACACTCAGACCCAAAGGCCAACTGGTTGAAGGGCTGTGTCAGGGTGAGGTGGGCACTGGGAGCTGAAGCCACCGTGGGGCCCCCACTGCTCCTGCCACCATCTGTGCAGCTGGCTGAGTGCCCCCCGTTCTGTGCACTTCGCAAGCCTGTGTCGGCACGCGCGACATGGGCACGGGCTCAGGCCTACTTCCGCCACCGGATCTCCAGGGACGGGGGTCCCCAGCCGCCTTCAGGCCCACTGGGTGCCAGGGTCCCTCGCACGGAGGTCTTTGTTGTCCTCTCTGCCTGCCTCTAGCTCCAAAAATCTGTTTCTGAGGGGCTGTGTTTCTTGTCTCTGTCTCGGGGCATCTCTCTCTCTCTCTCTCTCCGTCTCTGGGTATCTCTGGCTCTACACGTCTCTCTCTGTCTCTGTCTCCTCACCCCCCATCACCCTGGCCCCCTGGGCTGGGGTTTAACCAGTTGTTTTGATTTCTCTAAGCTGCTCCGGCCGCCTCGGGAGCCGCCTCGGGCCTCACCCCCCACCCCAGCCCCTTCATCCCTCACCCAGTACCCCCCTCCCCTTAACACAATCTGCACAAGTGGAATGAAAATTGATTTTTTTTTTAAATTTCATATCTTCTCCAGGGCTCTGTCTAAAGAGGAGAGAGACACGGCCCAAGACCCTTCTCCTGCCGCCACCCCCGCCCGTGTGTGCGCACGCGCACACACACACCAACAGGCAGACACATCACGCCTGGACACACACTCGGACACTCGTCTGCCCCCACCCCAGGGACACACCCCTCCCTAAGCCACACACGCACGTAGGACACAGCTGTGCACACAGCAGACACACAACAGACTCCTGTACACACGCTCTAGACGCCCCCCAAGGAGGCACACGTCACACACCCCATCCCATCTGGGCACACAGAGCACAGCGGCCTGACCCAATATAGTGTGCATGTTCTCACACACACGCACTCCTGTCCATACAGATTATGGCCATGTCCATGTGCACACAGGCTCAAGGGCGGCCCCACTGTAGGCACCAGGGAGGCCCCTGGGGCAGTCCCGGGGAGGACTGGGTCAGGAAGGTGACAGTGGTTTTCCTGCCTGGACTTGCCCCCCCCCCCCCGAGCCCCTAAGGTCACCCCACTCCCACCCCAGCCTGCAGCAACCAAATACTCTGGCATGGCCCGGGGCGGGGGTGTCTCTGTGCCCGGGATGTAGGAGTGCCTGTGTACGTATGTACGTACGTGTGTGTAGACACACACACACCACTCACTACTCCTTTCAAAGCCACACACTGTCATCCCCACAACAGGCTGGTGTATACGAGAACTAGCCCATCCCCACACGGGGCACACAAGACCCAGGGACAGAAC